CTTTGGACCTAATTTTTAAAATTATAAAACGTAGACTGAGGTTTCTTATTATGAATTGCGGACGAGGTTCAGAGATAGTTAAAACAAATTTGATAGCATCTAGTTATGATGATAAAAAATATTTTACCATACCGTTTTTTGGTGTGGTTTCGAACAGACTGACAAAGCTTTTTTAAAAATAATTTGATAAATATTGCTTATTCTTACAATAATAAATTATCAGGAATGATTCATGTGCATAAAGACAGGTTGCCTCCTGGTTTCCATAATAACGTTGTGTATAAATTGCAATGCAGTAGTTGTGAGGCATCGTATGTTGGTTAAACCAGTAGAAGACTCTCTACGTGCATTGCTGAGCATAGGAGAATACCAAGGAGTTCTACAGTTGAGTTAACGACCATACAAGAACACCGTTTGAGGGAAAACTATGATTTCAATTGGGATCAAGCCAAAGTTTTGCATGAGGAACGTTATTACTTGAAACACCTGATATCAGAAATAATTTATATTAAATTTCAAAAGCATGGACTTAACTCTCAAAAGGACACAGAATATTTGGGCAACAGCTACTGCGGCTTATTATGAAAATAAAACCTTATTTGTTTCCTTCTCTTCCAAGAGTCGTCGCCGCAATATTAATGCTCATGTATATAAATCTGTTATTATCTCTTTTACTTAGTGGCGATGTTATCGTTGACAGGATCGTTTCACTTTTAGCTGAACTCAACAAAGATAATTTATATTGACCGTTTTAATTATTTATTATATTTTAATCTTACCTATTTTTATTTTATTTTATGATTTTTTTATAGTTATGGCTACTTCCTATTATTAATTTGAACTTCTTTATATTAGTCGGGTAACGGTCTTGTCAGCTATAATACTGCGAATAATATTCATGTCATTTTATTAAGGTCTTTAATTAATTCTTTTACTTGTAATGCGTTCATTTTGTAAACCTTGAGTTTTTTGTTTATATCACTGAAGAGGGTTCATGATTGAGCCGAAACGTTTGATTATTTATATTGAATATTCATATTCAATAAATATTGCTCTATTTCCTAACACAAGGAAGGTTTTACCCATATGGTACATAGCACTATTAATCTTGTGCTTGAATTCGAATTAGTCCTTTTTCCTATTATTTAATTCATATAGCCTCGATTTTCCCTGATTAGGTCAAACTAAACAAAAAAGTTTTCTAGCATTTTGAAAATAATTACATAGATTTTTAGTCATTAATTAAAGAACATTAATGTATTATCGCGTGACCATACGTCAATCTTCTTTAATTGATAATTTAAAATTTTACGCGTGTTTATTTGCAAAATGGACTTTATATAGGATTTTTTCGTTTAATTTGACCTACAAGCACATGTCGCTATTACAGCTCATCTGCCGTATTAATAACTCAAAATTTTACATGATTACTTTTACGTGCAAAATGATAGAGAAATTTTGTGCTCAGAATTCGACTTAATCTACATTCTGATCCTTATATTCTTATTATCTTATCTATTTTATTATCAGACTCTTATTATCAGACACCCTGTATAGCACTTACATGTATATGAAAAGAAATTGATTTATAGTAGATTAAAACACCAAATTTTATTGACATTCTCCTAAGTCATTAACCCTCTAGAAGAGCTTCGTTCTTCTTGCGACCAGCAATCTGCTGTTTGCATTTAGTTTGGCAGAAGGGAATTTGACAACTAAAACTGGGCTGCCAATGACTAAAGAGGATGTCAACGGTTGGATGTTTAATCTAAAATACTCCTCTCGCGGCCGGAACAAAGCGCATTGTCGAGACAAACTTGATGCAGAGACTCACGAAGGGTTGAAGTAACCCGCGCTACCCCCAATCTGAGTGCCACGGAACTCGTGAAAACGGTAGAACTCGGTGTTTCCAGTGGTTTGCACGACGCGTTTCGCCGATCTCACGGAATAATCGCGAATTAGTGAACGCGACGTGGACGCGAACAAGCGCCGGGAGAAAACGGCACGCTCGGTACACGTCCAAGTATGCGCCGCGATTTCACGTCAACGGTGAACGCTTAATCATCTTCGAGCAGACTAGTTTTCCCGATTGTCCGCGGCCGGAGAACCCCTTCTCTTCATCCCGAGAAACCTGTTTCGCTTGCCATCTAGTTTTTACATGCCGACGTGTCCATAATCAACGACGTGTGACGCGATTTCGCTCGATAAGGGCGGCGACGAGGATCGCGCGAGGAAAAGAAGAGAAAATCTACGGCATCTCCTCGGCATCACCGTCGTAAACATCAGAACGAGTTTCCTCATGCGTCCCGTTGCCGCGTTAACCCCCGTGAGCGCAAATGAATTACGAATCCTCGCACAAATACACACACACACACACACACACACGTTCAATTTCAAATGGACTTTGCTCGAAGAATTTTTTATATAGTGCTTCATCATTCAATACCGATGACTGTCTACGGGGTCATCGGTGACAGTGAGATAAATTTACCACGCATTATATAGCGATAATGTAGTTCAATTTAATCACATTACACAATTTCTTGTAATTATCAACGATATTTATAGTCGAATTTTATATTTAAGATCGTCTTAATTTCGTCTTAAGATGCTATGTATGCAATAAAATAGATCTTACAGTATCTTAAGATGCATTTAAGGGGACATTACACAATTTCTTGATATTATCAACGATATTTATAGTCAAATTTTATATTTAAGATCGTCTTAATTTCGTCTTAAGATGCTATGTGTGCAATAAAATAGATCTTACAGTATCTTAAGATGCACTTAAGGGGACATTACACAATTTCTTGATATTATCAACGATATTTATAGTCGAATTTTATATTTAAGATCGTTTTATACAATTTCACAATTTCTTGATATTATCAACGATATTTATAGTCGAATTTTATATTTAAGATCGTTTTAATTTCGTCTTGAGATGCTATGTATGCAATGAAACAGATCTTACAGTATCTTAAGATGCAGTTAAGGGGACATTACACAATTTCTTATAATTATCAACGATATTTATAGTCGAATTTTATATTTAAAATCGTCTTAATTTCGTCTTGAGATGCTATATATGCAATCAAACAGATCTTACAGTATCTTAAGATGCACTTAAGGGGACATTACTTTCTCAAGTCTAGAACGCAACAACATCTGGGAATGTTATTAATTAAAAAAAACTACTAAAGAAATATATCTAAATTTTATTTACATGTAATTAAATAATATATTTGTATTTAAAAAACATTTATAATTATTTTTTATGTAGAAATGACATCATGGCATCCATTGCCTGCAGCTCTTGTGTCTTCCTAATTTGTACAATCCAATGAAAAAAATGAAAAAAGTTTCTTACAAAATTCTGTAGTAATAGTCAATTCAACAAAATGTAGTAATAGTCTTTCCAACTAGAACTTTTATTTTCATTACAGTTTTTTTTATGAAATAAAATAGAAAAGCAAATTCAACAAACAAAAAATTTCTTCTTTGAAATGAACCCAAAGATTTAATTGTTTAAAAGTATTACAAATATAAAATTCAAACATATTATTTATATTTATTTAGCAGTTTACTTTAAATAAATTCCCGTTTATTGTTGCTTTTTTAACTTAGAAAAGTAACTTGTCCCCTTAAGAGAATTTTAAACATAAAATTTCATCATGAATATATTAACCCCCTACATGCTCGTGACGGTGAGAACTTCGTTGCGACGTAGAGACGATGAGATGTGCAAAACTTGCGGGGGAAGAGGGTGGTCAACGTGTTGAGAAAACGTCGGGTGAAAGAACTTTGCCTATTTGTGTATGGGTCCCTCAAGGCTAATAACTAAAATGAGAGATTATTGTCAGAGGATTAGGGAGCTTAACTAAAATGAAAGATTATTGTCAGAGGATCAGGATATTCCATAGACATAATCCTTTAAGTCGATGCTATTCAAAGATATACTCTTTAAAATATTAAAAAAATACATTAAATGACATTTTTTATTAGATTTCTCGACGTCTGAGGTACCTTCCTATGGTGACGTTGTTATAACGGCTAAAACTACTCTGAAACATCAACTTGAAGTATATATCATTTGTTGTTGTTCTAATTATTTTGGCGCAGAGATGTAGAAATATCAATGAAAAGTTTCTCAATTTAATAATTGAGACAAATATATTTAAATTCAACTAAGTGACGATTAATTTAAACAAAATTAGTCGAAGAATATTTAATTGACCATTGATTTTAACGAATTTAATTAAAGCCCGTTCAATTGACGATTTATATGAGCGAAGAGAATCAAAGATCGTTCAATTAACAATTAAATTTAGCAAATTTAAAGATCGTTCAATTAACGATTGATATGAGCAAGTTCAAGCGATTCAATCAAAAAACATTTGATTACATAATGTTACAAACGATTGTGTTGATAACATTCATTGTCAGAATATCGTGGCATTGTAGATGATGATTGAGAAGCGCTAAATCCTCAATAGAATCTACTCAATCTTGAAGAGGGGGAGATGGGCGGCACTGGTCATATTAATTGTTAATTAAACGGCCTTAAATTAAATTTGTTAAGTTCACTTATTAATTGAACGATCTTTAACACTAGAACCCTAAAAGAAAACCCTAGAAATATAAAAAATTACGTAAATCCTAAACATGCGTAAATTCTACCCAACGCATTTCATTCGCTCATAACTTCCAGAAAAATAATTAAAATTTAATCCTTCTTTTTTTTAATCAGTATAAAAAACATTGAGGAATATAAAGCTATTAATGTTTCAGCAATTTAATGAGGTAGAAAAAGTTATAATGAAAAAACAAAATACATGTTTTTAAGAACGATAACATTCATAAAGGGTTATTAACCTTTAGGGTTAATTTCCTTCATTTATACCAATCATTAATTGTGTGGTTTTTAATTGAATTCGTTGAAATCAATCGTCAATTCAATTGATTTCGATCAAATCTGTTGAAGTCGATTGTCAGTTAAACGGTCTCAAGTTGAATTGGCTCATATTAATCGTCAATTAAACACGATAATTAACTTAAAAAGCAATTAATTACTCGCAATTTTTGTATCGACGAAAAAATATATTGTACTTTGTCTTATTATCTTCTGTTCTTTAATTTTGTTTCAAATTATTTTGGAAAGTTTGCGAAGAAAGACCTTATTACATATAAACTAAACTCTTCGTTCGTTAGATTGAGACTGCGGATCGATTCCTCGAATAAATGCAACTTCTTACTTTATTTCTAGTTATATCACTTTCAATGTGGCCTATTATTCATTAGTATGCGATTCATTGGTAGTCGCGAGGAGTCAAAAGTGGGCAAAGTTCTTTTCTCGAAGAGAAGACCAGGGGACCAGAGATTGAACGATGGACTCGCCAACGAGATTTACGTGCACGATTTTTCGGTGCTGTGCATATTTCAAAACGATAAACTCCACGCTTGTATATTCATTGCGCATTCTTCATTCCGTCTCGTCCACAATCCGTTGCAGTGGGCAAAGTAATGGCCAAAGACGAACCCGGCGGGCCAGGAGGATCCGTGGCGGCTGCTGCGGTCGCAGCTGTAGAAAAGCACTTCGCGATGCACGGCCTATATGGACTGCCACCGAACGCGGGTGCGACTGTCGGACCTTCGGCCCAGACTCAGAGACCGATCAAGCATTCTGGCTCTCGGGAGGAGACGCCTCAGGAAGATCAGGACGCCTTCCTCTCGACGTCTCACAGTAAGTGGAATCACGATGATCAGGAATAGACGCGAAAACTATAAGGACGAGAGAACTGCAAAAATGAGAGAAAAAAGATGGTTAATTTAACCAAAATGATACCTTATTCTTGGTTCCAACCATATTTTTTGGTTGTCCTAACACAAAAATGATAGTAGTAACATAAATCTAAGATTATTTTATCACTAGCATTATAATAGAATTTAATTTCAAAAAAAATTTCTTAACTATAATTTACAGTCATTATTTCCATATGTGATTATAGTTACAAATACTAAAATAAAACTTTTTAAACTTTTTTCCTCAGTGTGTATAAGTTTGTATTTGTATCTCTCTCTCTCTCTGTATTGTGAAAAAATATAAATATAGTGTAAGTAAGATGCATGGTGCCTTTGTTAAAATAATTGCACATCTTTTTGTACAAAACATGTACAGTCCCGGTGTTCATGTCGTATCTCGTATATATAATTCGGTTTTAAAATTGCAGTGTGGCGAGATCCGGCATATAAAGTAGCGGAAGACATAACGGAAAAAGGTAAGCAGTTCTATGAGTAACGATTAGGCTGATATTACGCTCTTGTTTTGAGAGCGCCAAGTGACGCCCTCGAAATCAGATTCGTTTCTCACGAGAGTATCGTGAATCGCGACTACGTGACATCTAACGCCTCTTCTTTCTCTCTCTCACTCTCTTCAGCTAAAATGGTGAGGCAGCAGAAAAGGGAGGGTGAGAATAAACCACATATCAAGCGACCTATGAACGCATTCATGGTGTGGGCCAAGGACGAACGTAGGAAGATCTTGAAAGCCTGCCCAGACATGCACAATTCGAACATATCGAAAATTCTTGGTAAGCATACTTCATCCATATCGTATTTCATATCAGTATTCATAACCAGTGGTGTTCAATCGGATCATCTTCTGTTTGGTAAAATGATACCGATTCGCGGGAAAAAGTATCGGTCAATGCAACTGTAGAGGAACCAGACGAAAATCCAATAGTGACAAATAGTATCGAAACTCAAGTTAAGATAACTAATAACTAATAACTAAGAACTCAAGTTAAGATAACTAAGAACAATTGGTCGAATAGAAATCGTCTACAGAAATCTTTCTACTCCCATAGTCGTCTGATTAAAAGTCGCAACATTCATTATTTGAAACTTGATTCGAGTGAAATTTTCAGATTTTAGTTTGGAGTTAAATGTGAGTTTTTCAATTGAACTGCGATTATAAATATAATATCATAAATATCAGACTGAATATTCGACTGAAAAACTTTCTCTAACTCTAAATTCAAATCTGAATATCTCACATGAGATTAGTTGCAAGTGACGACTATTCATGCAGACCTAAAATCAGAATTAATAGTCGTAGCTTGAAACTTGTCTCAGATGAGATACTCAGAGTTGAATTTAGAATTAAGTGTGAATCTCTTTCAGCTGAATCGCGCTTACAAATGCAATATCGCACATGTTGTGTAATACGAATAGAAAATTCAAATTTAACTCTAAATTCATGTCTGAGTGAGTGTCTCACGTGCGACAAGTTTCAAGTGATAACTATTGATACGAGCCTGAATGGCAAAATAACACGTAATGCTTTGAAAGAACAACGCTAATGACGTTATCGCATAATCTCACATTGCCGTCTGCAGGCGCCCGATGGAAAGCGATGTCGAACTCGGAGAAGCAACCGTATTACGAGGAGCAGTCGCGGCTGTCGAAGCTGCACATGGAGAAGCACCCAGACTACAGGTACCGACCGCGGCCGAAGCGCACGTGCATCGTCGACGGCAAAAAGATGCGCATCTCCGAATACAAGTCGCTGATGCGGCAACGACGGCAGAACAACATCCGGATGTGGTGCGGCGTTCGCGACGGCGGCCCAGAGATGGGCTTCTTGTCGCCTGTCGGTGCTGACCTCGGCTCCCAGCATCACCCGGGCGCGGGTGCCGGCCCGTCGGCGCGTCCGTCGGTCTCGCCGCCGGCGACGATGCTGAATGGCAGCGGCGGCGCCGCCGGGCCGAGCTCGGACCACGCCACGTTCTATTACCCGCAAGACAGTCTCTCGCCCACGGACATGATGAACTTCTCGCCCGAGAACTCGGGCTCAATCGGCGGCTACGACGCGAGTCCACGGCATCACGACGAAGATTGAACCGTGGCTCCGGGCCAGCCACTTTGGCCGCCCGGAGCATCATCGTCGTCATCCTCATCGGCAGCGGCGGTGGCGGCAGCGGCCGCCACGGCCGCCGCGGCAGCGTCCACGTCGAGGCTCGCTCATGAGCTCTTCTGGTAACCAGAATCGTCCGTCTCAGGGTGACGCGCGTCCCAAGACACGGGCCGCGAGTAGCGCTGTCGGCCGTGCGTGCGGCGTCGCAGACCGACGTCGTCGTCGTCGTCGTCGCCGCCGTCGCAGAAGCGCGCCAACTGCGCGACGAAGCGGACGGACTACTCGGAGAGGACGTGCCGCTCTTCCCGGCGAAGAGCCGGCCGTCTCGTGACCTCTCGCCGGAGGTTGTGATATAAACGTTCTATCTCTCTGTGCCATCGTACACGAAACGCGAAAGGACCTGACCGCGAAGCAGAGGCGCGAGAGCGCTATCCGCCTGCTGCTGGTTGAGAGCCTGTCGTCGGTGACGTCGCTCGATCGTCGATACTTTTTGCTCGGCCACGCGACTCAGTTCTCCTCGCGCAACGGCGACAGCCCAGCGATCCGTGTGTGCATCTTGTTGTCCCGCGTTAAATCGCGCCCGGTTCTCTCCCACCGTCGAGTCTCTCCTTGCCGTTTCTCGTTGCTCCTCCGCTCCTCTCGAGCGTTCTCTCAACGAAACACTCGTCGATCTCGCGTCTTTCCAACACGAACGTGCCCGAGCAGGCGTCGTCGAGCGGCGTCGGATGCGGATGTCCTGAAATGTCCCCGAGACGTTGTCGCCGCGCGACACCAGAGCGACGTCTCGCACGTACGCGCGACGGCGGGAGTCTCCCCCGCATTCTCTCTCATCATAATCAAAACTGCAGTCCACACGAAAAACGCGCGATAAACAACGCGATCACAAATGGTGATGTAGCTAAGCGTGTAGATACGATCGGCCGAAGTTGAAGCAGCGGTCGGGAGCCGACGTTTACCGGTGAGCCTCGCACAATATGCGATACACTTGTCACTCAGCGGAGGCGAAGGCGCATTCGCACGATTTTTGTATAAATAAGACAATCGCTTCGGCGCGCCGACTCGGATGCGACTCGCGCCGACTTCCTTGATATATCGGACTTCGATGCGCAGCGACATTACGTTAACACGTTTGCGACACGAGATGCATGGCCAAAAAGTCTTGTTCCTATTCCTTCTAGTGTGTGTATGTGTCTCTGAAACGATACGTCTCATCCCGGTCGGACGTATCGAGCAGGAAAAAGAAAAGAGAAAACGCAAAAAAAGATATGATAGAGATATGAAAGGGAAACTGGTCTAACAGCGCATCCCCCGCAAAACGATCGCGCGCGTCTGGCAACGCGCGGAGACGCGCACGTGGCATTCTAATACCTATCTATTTACCTACCTAAGTGACCGCCGGCCCGTTGTCCCATGTGCACTACCGTATATAACGACCGCGTGTCCGGTGTGCCGAATCATGGTCGGAGCAGAGTGAGAAAAGAAAATAAAAAGGAAATCTTAGAAGATAATCGCGCTCGCGCGACTCGTCCCGTGCATAGAAACGTGTGAGGAGCGACGACTTCGTTTAATATTTAAAAAAAATGCTTAGTACTTATAGTATTTTCATCATTAATTTATTGATCCTAATGTAATACACGGCGCGTAGCCGAAGCAATAGTCGACTGAGCGGGGGGGGGGGGGGAA